GTATACTGAAAATGACAATTCAAACGTCAATAAATTTTTAATAGATCTAAGTTTCATGGCAACCTTTAAGGATATATTAATTAAGGGAACATAAATGTATACGTCAAAGGTTAGATTAAAAGTTTGCAACAAAACAGTAAAATATATAAAAAAAATTGTAAAAACCTTTTTTTGGTTATGCAAATATTAATTATTTAAATTAAATCGCTAGTTTTAATTGGATAATTGAAAGAGTGCATAATATTTTTAATAAACAGCCAATTAAAACAATTCAAACCGTCAAATTTTTTTTATTTTGCTCTTAAAATTTTAGTTATGACCTAATTAACAAGAATATAAAAAAAAATTAGGTTTCACAGTCCAAAAATCACCTCTCAGAACAGCACCGTGATTCCTCTAATAAAGTAATAAACAAGAATAATAAAAAATTCAAAAAACCAGCATGAAATGTTAGTCACCTGCAGCTGCGCACTCCACGTGCAGCCCGACTCCAGCAGACTGGCAACCAGCTGCGCCCAGTCCTACCATCAAGACATGCGCACTGTGTTATCGCTCTTACACTTATTGGTTTTGTTATGCAAGTTTCATCAATTATAATTTCCAAATACAAATAAAAATATTTCCTTATGAAGTTTGTTTGCAAATTTAACCACAAAACATATATTTTTAGTATGCGTATGGACATTAAAATAATCTATAACATTTTTCATGCCAAGCAGTCACTCTATACATAATCAGCAAGGTGTAAAAAATTTTGTAGCACACATCTGATAAAATAATTGTAGATTTAATTTATGCTGATCTTGTTCTATAAACTAGCTTTGTTAAGTTTCTACCGGTTAGGAGAATCAATTGTTTTCGTTGTTTCAATAAACAGCACAACATACAATAATCTGTCTCCCGGAAAATAGCGCACAATGATTTTTCGGGCAATTTTTGTATCCTCAATCCAATCTTTAGTTTTTATAGACCAATCAGAGTAAAGCATTTTCCCCCGCATACTAGATAACGAACTAGAATCCAGTACTCTGATTGGCCACTTCAGTACGAATTAACCCAAGTAGCACAACTGGTTAAATTAACGTTATATTACATAGTTAAATATAACTTTAATGGTTAATGAACCTTTTGGTTTATTTTAGCCTTTTTAACTCTTAAATCAACTCAAACTATAATTAACCGATTTAAGTTTATTTTAACTCTTTATAATTATATTTTAACAAATATGGTTATGTACATATATCTATAGATATGACTTACAGATGATATTATTTTATGTTTAAAAGTATTTTAATTTTAGTAGTATGCATTTTACGAAAAAATGTTTAAAATAAAAATTAAATGATTCGAGGGGGGAAATCAATCAGCACTAAAATTGGTCCTCATAATCTCCTCCTTATAGGGGGAACAGGGGGTAACTTTAAAATTTCCAATGGAACACCCTATTTTTTATTGCAGATTCATTTGACTAAAAATAGGCAGATTTTGTCTAAAACATTTTTTCATATTTGTAATAGATGGCGCTGTAATGAAAAAAAATCAATTTTGTTCGATTTTTCTTCTGTATACGATTCTGCAATAATTTTTCTATAAAAATATCACTTTTTTTGGTAATAATTATATTAATATATTAAATCTGATTTTTTTATGTACCCACTATTTTTTAACTAATAATTAAGTTCCCTTTGGTTTAAGTTTTATAAATTATTTTATTCAGTGATAATTATCAATTGCGCACCATGGTCACTTTTTACCTGCCAGCATTCAATCCTTTAATTTGAAGGATTATTGTAGTATTTTTAATAAAAATACCTCATTTAAGGTTAAAAAAACATTATTTTGTCAATTAATCAATTTAATCCTAATTAAGGTATAAAAAATGGTATTTGGTTATAAATAAAGAAACTATTTATACATAGTTTAGCATTATTTAATCAATTTAGATAGAAGATTAATTTGCAAACAAAAAGACCTCATTTCGTTAAGCAGTTATTCATAATGGATTTTTTAACAGTGGAAGAAAGAATAGAAATGATTTTGATTTATGGAGAAGCAGGCAGGAATCTTCATGATGCTCTTAATATCTACGCTCAGCGTTTTCCGGAAAAAAATCGATCACGTACTTCATTTCACCGTCCAGTCAAGCAGTTTACTACAAACGGGAGTGTTCAACCGAAAAAAAAAATTCGTCGAGCAACAGTCACAGGTGGAAATAATGAAATTAATGTATTAGCAGCAACGGCCGCTAATCCTCATGCAAGCAGATGAGAATTATCTGGAGATTTGGGAATATCCCAGAGCAGTGTTAGCAGAATATTAAAACGAAATAAATAAATAAATTGAAAAATAAAACCAAGTACCTATTTTATTCAAAAATTATTGGAGAATCGTATACCGAAGAAAAATCGAACAAAATTGATTTTTTTTCATTACAGCGCCATCTATTACAAAAAAACTGACTCACCCTGTATATGGGAAAATATAACTTGTGGGTTAAAAAATTTACGAAAAAAGATATTAATAGATAAACTAAACCAAAATATGTTTAAAAATAACTAGTCTTAACCATTTTCAAAGGTTAAAAATAAAAATTAAAATAAGGTTATGTAAATTTTAACACAACCTACTTTTTAACTTATAAGTAATATTACCAACTTGGCTTGAAAATCAGATACAAAAACCCCACTTTGTTTAAGCTGTGGCTATTTTCGGAACGTATATTTACCTAAGAACACTGACAGTGCCAAATCCAACTGCACAGATAATGTATGATGTGTGCAAATGATTTTTTTAGTGATCATTATTATTTTTGTTATGGCTATGGATTGTAACAAACTTGACTTACCACTCCCTGTTAGCACAACAATATAACAATACTTGTATACATAAGAACTACTGCCTTTTCTTTGCAACAAAGACCGCACAGAGTCTACATATATAATAAATAAACCAATTAGGATTGTTTATACACTGCGCGACAAAATTAACGCATATTTAGTAAAAAAAAATAACTCTAAAACGCCTTTATCAATTTTTATAAAATTTTTTATTAAAATATTTTTAAAGCCCTTTTATTTAATAATAAAAAACGTTCTAAAATTAATATTTAGGGATTTTTTTAAAGTAAATAAAAAATATGCTGTTAAAGACCGTATTTTTGTTAGTATACCCTGAAAATTTTGTACAAATCAAACGAACAGTAACGAAGATACAGCGCTCCAAAGTCGGTAAAAATTACCCCTTTTTGATTATTTTGCTGAAAAGTGGTCATTTTTGACGACTTTGAAGCGCTGTATTTTCGTTACTGTTCGTTTGATTTTTACATTTTCAGGGTATATTAACAAAAGTATGTCTTTCACAGCATATTTTTTATTTATTTAAAAAAAAATTCCCTATAAAAGTTTTTTTTGAGCGTTTTTTGTTATTAAATAAAAGGGCTTTAAGGATATTTTCTCGAAAAACCCTTAAACACGTAAATTGAGATATGGGTGATTCTACAAAAGTTGGTAGGTATTTTAATATTTTTTGTAAATATTTTAGTTTATTACAAAAGATCCAGGTTTTTTTAACTTGTCCACCCAATTTTAATGTATTTTTTCAAAAGCACGTTTGTAGAAAAACATAATAACTATTCAAAACATCAGTACCTTGGCGTGTCACAATTCCTGAATCAAATATTTGAGTAGTTAAAATTGCTATTATTCGAATCTATGATAAAATGTGAAAAATACATTATTTAATGTTTTATAGTTTGTAGTGAAATTGAAAAACTTAAGATAAATTGAATATATTTTAAAATAAAATTTTATTTTAAAATATATTCAATTTATCTTAAGTTTTTCAATTTCACTACAAACTATAAAACATTAAAAAATGTATTTTTCATATTTTATCATAGATTCGAATAATAGCAATTTTTAAAAAAATAATAATCTTTGTACTCACTTTTACCCGTCAGTTCTGTGTCCAATGTTAAAATTCAAAATTCCTGCGAAATATTGAAGTTTAAACGTCAAGTCCTCGTTTTAACTCAAGTGTTGGTAAAAAACTACCTACAGAGCCCGCCCTTTGCACGACAGTCATCTTGAAAACAATGCAAGCGGCGAAGTTGTGGTGAATGCACGTATAGTTCAGTCAAAATTTCAGTACTGTGGTGAGTAGTTATTTTCTTACGTATATATATTTCATTGTAATTTATATAAGGCTGTATGTGATTTGTTGATAAGTAGCATCCACTAATAAAAAATATCAGTAAAATACTTAATCGTCAGTTCCATGTTCGATGTTTTTTTTCGCAAACTTCAATTTAAATTCTGCTTGCGCAGAACTTGTTTATTTAATGTCGTTATAAACTCATATAAATTTGGTGTGGGTCCCATATCTAATAATTGAGATATCGGTATACCCAAAATCCACCAGCCGCCACTGATGCGTTGTATTATTTGATTTTAAGATATTTAAAGTATAATATGCTCAAAGTTTCAATAAATCTTATATTTTCCAATAAATTATGTATTTAATTAGTACCCTGGTATACTCGTCACTTCCCTTGCATTCAAATTTAGAAAACACAGATATTTCAGAAACTGTTTGAAAAAGTGACTGGCCCGGTCTGGAACAGTATATTTATTATATTATCTATGTTCTCATAACGAAATACTGTTTAATTTTCTCCGAAAACTATATAAACAAAATGAGGTCAAAAGTTGCCAAACTTTTGTAGAATCCCATATAAGTTAAAGTATTTTTATCCAAAATTTTATAGATTGGTGAAGAGTTGGATTTATTTTACTTGTTATGCGTTAATTTGACGCGCAGTGTATATTAAGGTAGACTTATACTGTAAAAGACGCTCGGTTATTTATAGTTTTTTGACGGCAAAACTTAAACCCTTAAACATTGTTAATACTGTCCTGTTTGTTATTTGAATTAATGAGCAAATGGTTAATGTTAATGCGTAATGTTTTTAATTTGAGGCAAGCGGAAAAGTTGTTTCTTACCATCGACAGCTGGTCCATTTGTTGCTGTATAACGCAATTGGGCGTCGGGTTGAATATGTTGAATTCGTTGGGCAACGGACTAGGCGCGCCTGGGCTGCAAGGCGCCGAATGGCGGCCGCCCAGACTGGGCGACGACTGGGGACTGGGCCGGGGACTTCTGTAGCCCGCAGCCTGGTGTAACTAAAAAATGGGTTTTGAAACTACCTTCGTAGGAAACGCAGTACGAGCCCTAACCACAAAATGTTCGGACACTTAATAATTTATACAGAAATATTTTTCGTGAATACCATCTCAAAATTATTAGAAGTTATGAAAAATTCAGCTTATTTTGGCATATACCCCTCGAAGCGATTTTTATTTTTAAAAAGTTTACCTTTTATTTTTAGCTTTTAAGAAAAGGCTAACTTTTTAACTTTTTTTTGTATGAGTAAATAAAATGAACTGTAAGTTAAGGTTTTTGGGGTCGCTGATCACGAATTTGATGTCGAAATTATCAAATTCAAAAGTGCATAAGAAAAATTAATTTTTGGCGATAAATTAAAAACTGATCAAAAATGATTTTAATCAAACAACTTTCACAAAAATCAAAACTGCAATCAAGCAAAAACTTTTCTCAAGAGTAAAATTTTCTGAGAAATGTAAAATATGTTTTTTTTCTCTTTGAAAGAATCCAAAATATGAGGACACTTCACCAGTAGACGTAAATTGAATAAAAAAACCTTTCACAATTTTGCCAAGAAAATATGTTATTTATTTTTATTTTACACGGTGGTCAAAACTAAAGTATAGGACGAACAAAAATGCCAACCAAAACTGATAGCATATTTTGATTATAGACCCTTTTGGTAACATAACATGTATTTATCAAAATCCCAGCTAATCCTATTTTAAAGTTTTACAAACTTTTTTGTTTTTCTATTTCTATATATTATTTTGCAATTATTGTACTAAAACTACCTGTACAATTTTAATAAAATTAAGCAAAATAATAAACTTTGTATCATTTAAATTACTTTACTCCCCATTTATTGAGTCACCTATTATTTTTTACCACTCAAAACAAAACATAACAAAAAAAATCGAAGATTTATATCTTAAATATTTTTTATAACAAAAAATACTGGAAGTTTGTCTATGAAATAATTACAACTTGCAAATTTTGTAAAACAATAATTAAGGTGGTTATGAAAAAAATTGCTCTACGTTATAACGCAAGTGACATTTTGCTTTAGTTGTTTATTTAATGTATACTTTATAAAGTTAAAAATAGTATTTTAAAATGAAAATTAAACCGAAATTCAAGTTAAGCCATGAAGAAAATCGAAAGAAGGTATGTGCTGGCTGTGGAGACAAAATTGTTTTTGGTAATCGAAAAATTTAGGGTTTAGGGTTTCTGAGAAAATATAAAAATTACTGCAGACTTTTTCAAACGAACACTTTAACTTAAGTGATTCAAAATTACCTACTTCAATATGGTAAAAACGGTATTTTTGCATAGCCCCAATTGCCAAATTTTCAAAATTTAGAAATTGCTAGAGAATTTCGCGGCAGCCAAGAATGTATGTGCTTTATCTGCAAAATGGCAAGATATAAAGGGCATAAAAAATTATTAAGGGAAGAGGACGGACGAACGAACTAAAGTTTTGATATGCTCTTCCTTTCTAGGGGATATATCGCTAGATGTAAGAAGCATGTTTGTACAGAGACTGAAGAATTTAAAAATACTGTTTCCATGTTAAAAACAATTCCATGTAAAACCCAAGAAAAAGTTTTACTGAAAATTTAAGGCAAGCAGTAATCGATTTTGCTTCAAAGAATCTTTAGTTATTTATTAGTTTTGTATTAGGTACCTTAAAACAATAAATATGATATTGCAAACTGTATTTTACGTTATTTTGTATTTATACTGTAATTTATCCATATTTCAGTCATGTATCTGCCAAATTTTTAAAAACATTTGATAATGGTACAAGAGTATTTTATCGAAATGGCATAAACAATTTTAAAATACTAAGAAATATGCAAAACTTAATAAAGGATCAGCTGGGATTTTGATAAATACATTTTTGTGTCAATCTACTTTAGTTTTGACCACCGTGTTTACAAAACTTACCGTTGGTGATGTCGATGGCGAACATTGTTGATATATAAGATGGTTGAATTCAGATCCATCAAATAGATTTTTATCTAATTGAATATTCTGAAAAAAATCATATTTTATATTATATAATTTTAAAAATTCTTAAAAAAAAAATAGCTGATAATCGCAAAAAAAACAGAAAGTACAAACCTTAGTTTGCTGTCTGGGATACCTAGAGTTTACTGGCACTGACAAATGATTCTGCAACAAATTTACAAAAAAACATGCAGAACTAAAAAAAATAAAATAATCAAAAACAAGCATGCTCAGGACGATAATAAAAGCGTACGGAAAAAAATTGAATTTCGACTAAAAATAAAACAATCGTAAAACGTACCGAATGTGCTTGCGATACCGACGTGAAATGAAATCGACCAGGGGGCCTTACACCCTGAGGTATACTAGTGGGGGATAATGTCGATGGGCTCGTATTTACAGGACTCTGGAAACAAATACCAGCCACTTACACAGGGACACTCAATTAGGGTTTCAAATTGGGTCTTTACCGTCGGCCGTTTTTTTTACACTCACAGGCAAAATAATCGATCCACACAAATTTTCCATGAACTTCAATCGCAAATAACTTTTTTATTTGATTTCGGATTTAAACAAATATTAAAGAATATAGTAGATACATTAATGGAGAATCGCTCACATTTTAAAAATTACTAAAAAATACACGCACGTTTATAATATACAGGTTTAAACAAAAAGAAGTTTTTACCATAAGTTTAAGACACTCTGTAGAGTGGCAAAACCGTATATTGTTCTAAATTAAGTTTTATTTATCAAGTCACATCTATTCTTAACAGTTTTATTTTTGGTTCACCTAGATATATTTATTTTTGTGGAAAATATGGATTTTTTTAAAAACCATTGCAATTTCCAATATTTTTCTGTATGAAGGACTAAGGTTGCTATGGTCCATCCATAGCCTATGGAGGATGACAGTGACAGTTCTGTTGAATCATCCCATACTTGGACATGCCATATACAGCTCTCAAAAGCTATCAAATTGTTTTTTGTAAATTAATGTGTTAATTTTGAGGTGTCTTCTTACTTTTAAAATAGTCTCCGACTGATGTTGCCCTTGACCGTCCATCCTGGATTAAATTAATGGCTCTGGCAACATCAGTCGTAGACATATCCAGTTTATAAAGTAAGAAGACACCTCAAAATTTAAACATTAATTTGCAAAAAACAATTTGATAGCTTTTGAAAGCCGTGTATGACATGTCCAAGTATGGGATGATTCAACAAAACTGTCACTGTCATTCTCCATAGCCTATGGATGGACCATAGCAACCTTGGTTCTTCATACAGAAAAATATTGCAAATTGCAATGTTTTTTTTAAAAAATCCATATTTTCCACAAAAATAAATATATCGAGGTGAACCAAAAACAAAACTGTTAAGAATAGATGCGACTTGATAAATAAAACTTAATTTAGAACAATTTACGGTTTTGCCACTCTACAGAGTGTCTTAAACTTATGGTAAAAAACATGTTTTTGTTTAAACCTGTATATTATAAATGTACGTCTATTTTTTAGTAATTTTTTAAAATGTGAGCGATTGTCCATTAATTTATCTACAATATTCTTTAATATTTGTTTAAATCCGACATCAAATAAAAAAGTTATTTGCGATTGAAATTCATCGAAAATTTGTGTGGATCGATTATTTTGCCTGTGAGTGTATATGGGTAGAAAAAGATAAAGTGGTCAAAAATCCAAAATAAATTATTACACATTCTTTATGGGTATATTTATGACGCTAATTTGTTAAAAACATCTTAAAGCAATAGATTTTGGTAGAGAATTATTTTTAAATAATTATGTTTTGATTTTATTACACCTAAAAGTAGAATGTTTCTAAAACAGTAAAATCTGGGTACTGATTTTTACACGGATTACAAAATTCCAAAGTTATCAAAATGTAAAACTATACCAATTTTTAAGGCATGATTTTAAGGAAAAGGTTAATCTGGCGAAAAATTTCATTTTAACCTTTTTTGTAGAGCATTTAATTTCCTTAAAAAAATATATCTAAGTCAATTTTGTTTAACTCAATGGTTAGGGAGTTCTGTATGGCACGCCGTTTTAACATTTATTAAATAAAAGTTTAATTTAAAATTTTTATGGTTTAAAATTTTCCTAACTAAAAATTTTAGGTTTACATTAATAAATTTATAATATTTTCAACTATCACAAAATTTACTAACCAACAGTTCACTTCTGTATTAAACAATATTATTTTCTATCAATTTTTGCAAAAATCATTTTTTAATAAAAATAATTTCCCAAGTATAATTTATTTGGGTGGCATTTTGTTAACTTAAATAAATAATTTATAAAAATATTGAGATTAATTTGGTAAAGTTAAAATTTTTAGTATTAAAAATTAGTATCAAGCCATTTAAAATAAAAACACAAATAAAACATTTTCTACCAAAATAGTTAAACAAGTTAAATTTTTATAAACTCAGAACTATTGATAATCAAAAAATATTTTAAATATAAAATGCAACAATTTTAAATTGATACATTTTTAAGACAAAAATTATAACTTTACATTTAAATGTAAGTCGATAATTTTTAAATTACAAAGTGTAAACGTCTGGGATCGGAGCCACAATGCAGCCAGTTTGATCAGCAGTGTTGCCAAATCGTGCTTGCTCCATAAATATTTGGCGCGTTTTACAAATTATCGTAATGAAATGTTTCTTTATTACATAAATTTAATAATAGAACAACAACATTTTTGGGTACTAAGTTAATTTGACAATTAAAAAACATCAACGGATCAAACTGGCTGCATCGTGGCTCCGATCCCAGACTATTGTGCCTTCTACTAAAGCTACGTTTACACTTTGTAATTTAAAAATTATCGACTTTTTAAATGTAAAGTTATAAATTTTGTCTTAAAAATATTTCACTTAAAATTGTTAAAAATAAAAAAAATTGGTTTAAATTGGTAGAGTCATTTAAATGATAGTCGAAAAAATTTTAATCCAGAAATTACTACTTCAAAATTTAAAAGTTACATTTAATATAATGCGAGAATTTTTGTTTTAAAAATTTATCAACTATCTAACTAATTTTGTAGAATAAAATATTACAACCAAAACTTTAAAAAATCAATATTTTTAAACATAATTTTTTACTGTTGCATTTTATATTTAAAATATTTTTTGACTATCAATTGTTTTGAGTTTAAAAAAATTTAACTTTATAAATTTCTGTTAAAACATAATTTAAGTGCTAAACTTTAATCTTTAAACTTTTATCTAATAAATGCTAAAACGGCGTGCCATAGTTCTGAGACAAAAACTCGCTCAGGAAAAAAAAATTAAAATTGCGATGATAATATTAATATTATGGACTCAAACTTTCACAATATTTTTTTTGTCACCCCAAACCATATTTTCGATATACTTTTCAAAAAAAAAATAGTTGATTTGTTTGGCCCAGTCTAATATACATTTTTATAAAGTTAAGTTACTTTTTTTTAAACGCTTGAATAATCGGGAAATTGAACTTCTTTGCTTAAAATTTTGGTTTTTAATAAAAAACGTCGGCATATTCGAAAAAGTAACTTTTTTTTTAAAGTTATCTATTAAATGCTAAAATTAAAAAAGTCACGGTGGTCAAAACTTAAGTATAGGACAAACAAAAATGCCAACCAAACTGATAGCATATTTTGATTATAGACCCTTTTGGTAACACTAACATGTATTTATCAAAATCTCAGCTGATCCTATTTTAAATTTTTGAAAACTTTTTTGTTTTTCTATTTCTATATATTATTTTGCAATTATTGTACTAAAACTACCTGTACAATTTTGATAAAATTAAGCAAAATAATAAACTTTGCATTATTTGAATTACTCACCTATTATTTTTTACCACTCAAAACAAAACATAACAAAAAAACGAAGATTTATATCTTAAATATTTATTATATAATAAATAAACAAAAAATACTGAAAGTTTGTCTATGAAATAATTACAACTTGCAATTTTTGTAAAACAATAATTAAGGTGGTTATGAAAAAAATTGCTATACGTTATAACGCAAGTGACATTTTGCTTTAGTTGTTTATTTAATGTACACTTTATAAAGTTAAAAATAGTATTTTAAAATGAAAATTAAACCGAAATTCAAGTTAAGCCATGAAGAAAATCGAAAGAAGGTATGTGCTGGCTGTGGAGACAAAATTGTTTTTGATAATCGAAAAATTCAGAGTTTAGGGTTTCTGAGAAAATATAAAAATTACTGCAGACTTTTTCAAACGAACACTTTAACTTAAGTGATTCAAAATTACCTACTTCAATATGGTAAAAACGGTATTTTTCCATAGCCACAATTGCCAAATTGTCAAAATTTAGAAATTGCTAGAGAATTTTGCTTTATCTGCAAAATGGCAAGATATAAAGGGCATAAAAAATTATTAAGGGAAAAGGACGGACGAACGAACTAAAGTTTTGATATGCTCTTCCTTTCTAGGGGATATCGCTAGATGTAAGAAGCATGTTTGTACAGAGACTGAAGAATTTAAAAATACTGTTTCCATGTTAAAAACAATTCCATGTAAAACCCAATAAAAAGTTTTACTGAAAATTTAAGGCAAGCAGTAATCGATTTTGATTCAAAGATTTTTTAGTTATTTATTAGTTTTGTATTAGGTACCTTAAAACAATAAATAAGATATTGCAAACTGTATTTTACAATATTTTGTATTTATAATGTAATTTATCCATATTTCAGTCATGTATCTGCCAAATATTTAAAAACATTTGATAATGGTACTAGAGTATTTTATCGAAATGGCATAAACAATTTTAAAATACTAAGAAATATGCAAAACTTTAATAAAGGATCAGCTGGGATTTTGATAAATACATTTTTGTGTTACCAAAAGAGTCTATAATCAGATTATGCTATCAGTTTTGGTTGGCATTTTTGTTCGTCCTATACTTTAGTTTTGACCACCGTGGCTAGCCTCCACCAGTAGTGAAAGAAAAAAATCGGAGATGCAAAAGCAAAAATGGCGTTCGTTTTGGCGTGGGGTAATTTTAAGGGGCCCAAATAATACTCACAGAACTATAGGGAGACGAACCGCCGTGGTCTTGATCGAGGGGTGCGTGAATCGGCGACGAAAAGTCCACGTTGGTCAGGTCTGGCAAGGAGCCGGTGTTGTTTCCGATGGGGATTTGGATCATGCCGGGCTCGTGCGCCGAGGGATATATGCTGAGAAAAAAAATAAAAATAAAGACGATTTTTTTTATTTTTTTTTTCCGTAAGGTTGTGCATACTGTATTCCAGGTACTCGGGGAACTTCGCAGCTCGACTTCGGTCGGCCGTCGTTTCGGTCGGGGCCGTTCATCGAGTTTCCCATCCACATTCGACTCGAACTGTCGTTTCTGTCTGAGTTCATTCCCTACATGCAAATAAAATTGCTTAAAAAAAAAATTTTTGGGAGTACCTTCAGGATAGTAAAAAAGTAAGAAAAAACTCGTTTGAATTTTTTCAGGACTCAGGTAAAAAATTAATTTAAAAATATGATTTTTTGGGAGTACCTTTAGGATAGTAAAAAAGTAAAAAAAAAACTTAGTTTACATTTTTTCCACTTCTTTAGGATTTGTTCAAATTTTTTATTAAAACTGGTCGGGGTCAGGTTAAAAATTAATTTAAAAAGCTGAATTGTTGGGAGTAACTTTTGGATAGTAAAAAAGTAAGAAATAACTTCGTTTGATTTTTATGAGTTTTACCCACTTTTTAAAAATTAATTTACAAATCTAAATTTTTGGGAGTTCCTTTAGGATAGTAAAAAAGTAAGAAAAAACCTCGTTTAATTTTTTTTATTTTTTAATTTTAAGTTTTTCCTACTTTTTAGGATTTGTTCTTTTTTTTATTAAAAGTGGTCAGGGCTCAGGTTAAAAATTAATTTACAAATCTAAATTTTTGGGATTTTCAGGATAGGTAGTAAAAAAGTAAGGAAAAACCTCGTTTGAATTTTTTATGAGTATTTCCCACTTTTTTAGGATTTGTTCCAATTTTTTTTACCTGAAGTACCTTCAGAATAGTAAAAAAGTAAGAAAAAATCGTTTGATATTTTTTTTAATTATGAGTTTTTCCTACGTTTTAGGATTTCTTCTATTTTGTTAATTAAAAGTGGTCAGGGCTCAGGTTAAAAATTAATTTACAAATCTAAATTTTTGTGATTTTCAGGATGGAAAAAAAGTATTTGACACTTCTTTAGGATTTGTTCTAATTTTTTTATTAAGTGGTCGGGGCTCAGGTTAAAAATTAATTTAAAAATCTGAACCTTTGGAAGGATCTTCAGAATAGTAAAAAAGTAAGAGTTTTTCCCACTTGTTTAGAATGAGAGACCTTATATATGTATATAGGTTATGTTTATTCTTCATAAAGAATAAACATAACCTATATCCCGTACGTCGATTCTTTTAGATAGTTAGAACTCTTGTAGTATCCCAACAAACACATTTAATGGACAATCGCTCACATTTTAAAAAATTACCAAGAAATAGACGTACGTTTATAATATACAGGTTTAAACAAAAATATGTTTTTTACCATAAGTTTAAGACACTCTGTAGAGTGGCAAAACCGTATATTGTTCTAAATTAAGTTTTATTTATCAAGTCACATCTATTCTTAACAGTTTTGTTTTTGGTTCACCGAAAATATGGATTTTTTAAAAAAACATTGCAATTGCCAATATTTTTCTGTATGAAGAACTAAGGTTGCTATGGTCCATCCATATGCTATGGAGAATGACAGTAACAGTTTTGTTGAATCATCCCATACTTGGACATGTCATACACGGCTTTCAAAAGCTATCAAATTGTTTTTTGCAAATTAATGTTTAAATTTTGAGATGACTTCTTACTTTAAAAAATGGATATGTCTCCAACTGATGTTGCCAGAGCCATTAATTTAATCCAGGATGGACGGTCACAGTATTACGTGGCAAGTGTTTTAAACGTCACAAGAAGTAAAGTACAAAGGGCAACATCAGTCGGAGACATTTTTAAAAGTAAGAAGACACCTCAAAATTTAAATATTAATTTGCAAAAAACAATTTGATAGCTTTTGAAAGATGTATATGACATGTCCAAGTATGGGATGATTCAACAAAACTGTCACTGTCATCCTCCGTAGGCTATGGATGGACCATAGCAACCTTAGTTCTTCATATAAGAAAAATATTGGAAATTGCAATGTTTTTTAAAAAAATCCATATTTTCCACAAAAATAAATATATCGAGGTGAACCAAAAACAAAACTGTTAAGAATAGATGTGAGTTGATAAATAAAACTTAATTTTGAACAATATACGGTTTTGCCACTCTACAGATTGTCTTAAACTTATGGTAAAAAACATCTTTTTGTTTAAACCTGTATATTATAAACGTACGTGTATTTTTTAGTAATTTTTAAAATGTGAGCGATTGTCCATTAATTTATCTACAATATTCTTTAATATTCGTTTAAATCGGACATCAAATAAAAAAGTTATTTGCGATTGAAATTCATCGAAAATTTGTGTGGATCGATCATTTGATGCTTGCTCACCTGCATGGCGCTTTGATGGAGGGCCGAGTCGCTGTTTGTCCGCCTCCAGCTGGTGTCCGGCGGCGGACTGAGGAACGTGCCGCTGGAGTAGGGCGACGTGTCGAGCCGCCTCTCGTGCGGCCGCCGAATGGGCCCGCCCTGGTTGCGGGCCCGACTGTTGTGGAAGGACGACGCCCTCGGCGGTCTAACGTCCTCGTTCGGCTGAAACGTACACATCAAAATCACTATCGCCGCAATAAAGAAATCCTATTCGAGTATTTCCTTCGGAATTTTGTTTATTTTGCATTCCGACCCTGGATCTAGCACCAACAGATGCGTTAAATTTTGTTTTTTTACACTTACATTAAACTAACCTTATTAAGCACAATTCTGCGCGCGTAGAACTATACGTCCTACGTAAATTTTGTAAAAAATGATTTCTATGCAGATTTATACTAGGAACATATTTTATAATATAAAAATATACATTAAATCAATAGTTTACGGGATAATGGATATTTGGTTATGGCGGCGCAATTTCACTAATTCTAGTACCCAAATAAACAAAATCCAGAAGAAAAAGCTTCACTAGGGTAAGATAAATCCTTCTTTGGACTGGTCTATATTTTTACTTCTTTTATTGTCCAACAATCAGTCCACTTTAACTAATATAAATGTTCTAAACACAAAAATATAAAAGTCCTTTTCATTAACTATGATTTCGCGTAAAAATCAAACAAATTTTGGACATTTGCAAGTGATGCCAGAATTATAAGAATATATTTTTTTAACCTTGTTTCTACATCTAAATGGAACATTTAAAAAAAATTCATCCATTGACCGCTGTGGTTTTCAGGCCTTAAGTCACTCTACTGTGTTAAAAATAGATAAATTTCGATATTTTGTAATAACATTTTTATTTAAAAACGTATCGATTTGAAATTAAGATAAAATGTAGACCTTATTAATGGCAATAAATCCACGTATTATTTTTTTAGATTTTAACATACAGGGGGCGCTGGGGACAATTTAATTTAAAGTTTCAGCTTTTTTTAAGGGTTAAAAAATCGAAAAAGCAACGTTCTTTTATAATTTTGAGTATATCACGTTAAAGTACTGATAATTAACTATTATTTGATATATAAACTTCTATATGCAAATTATGTTTCTACGAGATACATCATTTTTAAGTTAGGCCCAACGTGTTTTACAAAGTATATATTCTTTTATCTAGTTTTATAAGATAATGTATTATATAACATATTATACATTTTATATTATATATAATATACATGGAGCTAAAATTACTTATTCTTACTACCTCGGCTGAAAATACGTTGTTTCGTCCCCGATTTCACGGCAGAAAGTTTACGTTTCTTGCATTGGTCAAGCTATACGCGCACACTCTACTCGTATAATAGCGGGAGTAAAAATTTTTTAGTCGTGTGCTCAACATATGCAACTCTGATTACGACACTAATATAACCTCAAAATTTGGGCATGCATCAATATGTTTCGATATACACATTTAATTTTTTCCCGTATTTTCGGCCGGGTTGTATTTTCGGCCGAGGTAGTAAGAAAAATGGTATACACTACACGGGCAGAAAGGAATCTCACACTTTCTGCCCTTGTAGTGTAATATACTATTATTTGGTAATTTAATTTTTTTTCAAGTTTCCTAATTTTGATCATAGACTTTTCTCTATGGTACCCTACCATTGGAAGCATGAAAGATAATACCTACTTTAATTTTATTTTTTATTTTTTGCTCCACAACCAAGCTTTAATTTATTTTTTACTCGATAAGCAAGCTGAGGAAAGTTATATTTACCTAATAAATAAATTAGAATAAAGACTTTATTTTTTATGTTGCAATCGGCTATTTAGGCTATACAGGGTGTTTCTGGAGAAACCTAAACGATATCGATTTGAAATATTAATAGCATATACAATTTGATTTAGACTAAACCTAAAGTAAATAGTTTTCAAGATATTAAGTTTTTTCGTTAAAATTTTGCTAAATGCACGTAAATCAAAAATAGCCTCAAATTTTTTTGTTATTATGTTTGCTGACATGGGGTTGGAATTTTTGGAGTATTAAAAGATTGTTTAAATAATTTAATTTTTTAAAGGTTTTTCAACAAATACCTTGAGAAAAACCACTTGAAATTAGGCAAACTTTAAACGTTTTTATTATAAAAGTAAAACCCTGTATGTTTTAACATAATCATAACATTAAAGAATCTTTCGATTATTATTATAATAACTGTTTCCCCAAAGTTAAAATTTTAGAGACGTTTAACAATTTCTAATATTTTCAAAACTATATACAAAATATATTTTGTATCTAAAAACCTGTGAAATTCTCCATGGTTACCACCAAATCTGTCATTGTTTAAAATTAATTAAAATATTTAATTGAAAAATTAACTAATTGACTTTAGGTAGGTATAGGATATGGTATAGCCATTTTACTCAGAATTTTCTGTAGAATTAAAAAATGTTAAAATACATGAGGGGTCCTGTTAAAGTTAAAGACATTTCCGGTAAAACAGGAAGTATTATTTTGTTCAAAATAATTTAGGAAAAGTCATTAAAATTAAATTAAAATTTTAAATCGATGTCTTTCGCAATTCCCTAGAAACTTTTAACGGACTACGTACGTGAAACACCCAGTATATTTAACGGCATTTACGTGTTATGCTATACTTAATTATTAATAAAAGATACAACAATATTTGTATAAAAATGACAAAATGTACTAAACTTAACATTTATGAATACTGCTACTGCTAATTCAAAAGTGATCCTGGCCACAGGAACATCATTTGCATAAAAAGTTAATAATTCAAATAATAGTCAAATATCAATACTTTAACGTGTTATACTCAAATTTATAAAACAAAGTTGCTTCTTCGATTATTTACCCTTTAAAAATTGTTAAATTTTAAACTAAATTATCACCCCTGTACGTTAAAATCTAAACAAAATTTTTTTTATGGATTAATTGTCATTAGTAAGATCTACATTTTGTCCAAATTTAAAATCGATACGTTTTGAAATAAAAAGGTTATTTAAAAAAAAATTAAATTTGTTCATTTTTAACACAGTGAAGTAAAAAATAAAAACAAATTTGTCAATGGACGAGATTTTTTTTTTTTTTTGAAAAAAGTTGTTGAAATAAGGTAAAAACGTTTCAATCGATTTCTTGAAACCTTGCAAATCGACCGTTCGATCGTTTCGCGAAACCGTAGTTAAGGTTTATTTTCTTGGAGGTTTAATATAAAAATATTGTTCATTACACGTGAAATTTGTATTTTACAGGTACACAAATATGCATAATCTAAAATATCATGCTTACTATAATTTTAACTACTTTTTACACTATGTAGATAAAAAAACCATGCAAAGTGTAGGTATATTTTATTTTTTTCAAAATAAATTTTGGCATATATATTTTATACATATCGTGAATATAAAAAATCTCGGTACCAATATATACAATAACTTTTATAAACAATAATCAAATAACCAGGAAGTCGTTATAAATATTTATAAGAAACACATAACTCCATAATAATTAAATAATTATTCTTACTTTTGCGTTGTCAGTAAAAAACTACTATTCTAAATTGCAATGTTTTTATTAACAATCATAAATGTTAATTTTATAAATGTTAATGTTCGATGATATTAAGTTTAGAATTCTATATTTTTTTGTCTATTATCTTTTAAAAAAAAGTTAATGACATAATGCAAAAATGTTTATTTACTTTTATATCATTCCCACTAGACTGGGCCAAAAAAATTGACTAATTTTTTTTTTGAAAAATATATCGAGAATGTCATTCAGAATGACAAAAAAAATATTTCGTGAAAATTTGAGCCCTTAATATTAATTTTAAGAGGTCTATCATCGCTATTTTTGATTTTTAGTCATAATTTGATGTTTTACGTTAGAACTGTCAAAACATTAAACTGAAAAAAATTCCTTGTCACTTATTTTTATATAAAATTAAATTCTCTACAAAAAAGGTCTGATTGAAAATTTTCGTCAGACGAGCCGTTTCCGAGTAATTGAGCCTAATAAATCGATGTGTTTTTTCGATTTGCCCTTTTTACTTTGAAATTTTGTAACTAATGAATCAATGAATATTTTAAAAAGCTCACGTCGGATTCTTAAAGGAAATTTAATGTTCTACAAAAAAGGTCTCTAAACATTTTTGCCTAAATTTAATTCTTCAAAAGTTATTCACGAAGAAAAAATTCAAATTTTAAGTTTTTCTTCGATTTTAATCGTGAATAACTTTTGAAGAATTAAATTTAGGCAAAAATGTTTAGAGACCTTTTTTGTAGAACATTAAATTTCCTTTAAGAATCCGAAGTGAGCTTTTTAAAATATTCATTTATTCATTAGTTACAAAATTTCAAAGTAAAAAGGGCAAATCGAAAAAACACATCGATTTATTAAGCTCAATTACTCGGAAACGGCTCGTCTGACGAAAATTTTCAATCAGACCTTTTTTGTAGAGAATTTAATTTTATATAAAAATAAGTGAAAAGGAATTTTTTTCACTTTAATGTTTTGACAGTTCTAACGTAAAACATCAAATTATGACTAAAAATCAAAAATAGCGATGATAGACCTCTTAAAATTAATATTAAGGGCTCAAATTTTCACGGAATATTTTTTTTGTCATTCTGAATGACATTCTCGATATAGTTTTCAAAAAAAAAAAAATAGTCAATTTTGTGAATTAACTCCTTACAATATTTTAGTAATGTGACCTTGAAACGCCAATAAAAACTGAATTTATATTAAAAAAATTTACATATTTTACACATTTATTATTTATCTTCAATTTTAAAAATTTATATATATTTGTAAGCAATTTTTATAAAAAATTATTATTTATTATTAGTTTTCTAAAGGAAAAAAATTAACTGTTTTAAAATAACCATTTATTTTGAAAATTTTAAATATTAAAATTATTGTTATTACTTAACTCAAACATACTATATTTCTTAATCAAATGTTTACGGAAATAAATCAAAGTTCATTAACAATTTATAACATTCATTTTACAACTAATTTACCTAATCATTTTCTTAACATTACAAAAAAATAAAATGTAGCAAACATAAGGTCAGAAGTATAATTTTTCTTAAAAAAAATTCGGCACATTTTTAAACACGTGCCACAAACTCAGCTGAGCGTT